GGCGAGCGGAGGCGAGACACAAGTCGGGCCGTGGCGGAGCGGAGGCGAGACACGAGGTCGGCCACAGTGGAGCAAGACAGTGATAAAACAGAAAGAGAGGGACAGGTGGCGATCCCTCCAGGTGCCTCAAGAAGACAAAGTCCCAGGGAGGAAGAGGAGCCCAAGGAAGAGAGAGGCCCGGCCCCCCGGGAGCGGTTGGGTTGGAGCTGGCAAGGATGCTCAGAATGAGATGGAGGAGTTCCTTGCCCCAAAGGAAGTCAATACGGGGATGGATGTTCTGCCAGATGCGGGTTTTTCTGAGACCGTGGGGGAAGTCTCACTGGCCTCTTTAGATGGTCTAGTGGCCTAGAAAGAAAAGCAAGATTCAAGGAGCAGGAGGAGGAGGAGGAGGAGAAAGGGGAGGAAAAGTCAAAAAACAGTCTCAATAAAAAAAACAAACAAAAAAAAAAGACAAAGAAAGGAAACAAGAAGAAGAAGAAGAAGAAGAAGAAGAAGAAGAAGAAAGAACAGGACAGAAAAAACCCAAAACAACCAAGAACCAAAGGGAGTCTGTTCAGAAGCAGCATTGAGTCAGGCCTGAGGTCAAGCAGCTGGAAAAGGGCCACCACAAACAGCACGAGATGAGCTGGTCCCACGCGTTACTGGACGGGAAGGGGACGACCCCGAGAGCAGAGACGGACGGACAGACGGCCACGAGGACAGACAGGCACACACACACACACACACACACACACACACACAGGTGGGGGGAGAGGGGGGAAAGGCAGGGGGGGACAAGAAGGGCAGTGTTAGACCGGGCACAGCACCTGGGGTGACGGTGCCCACCCTGTCCCGCTGGGACATCACACCAGGGGGGCACCCCCGGCACAGCCAGGACCCCGCCCGGCTCATCCAAGGGCTGGTCCAGGGCTCCGGGAGGGAATGATGCTCATAAACCCTCCTGGAATGGGGAGAGGGAGCTGCCAGCCCCGGGCTGCTGGGCGGGGAGGGACGTGGAAAATTCCTGCCCGAGGAGAGGGCAGTGAGGACAAAAGTGACACGGGAAACTCGTGCTCTGGTCACCCCAGAGAGGGCACGGGGAGGTGCCAGGGGGCAGGTGACCGACAGGGAGGACCAGGGTGACACCCAACAGCCAGGACTGTCCGGGGTGTGGCCTCCAGGGAAGGGGACTTGGTGGCCTCCCTGAGGCGTGGGGGGCCAGGAAATGCTCCCCAGCCCCTTGGAACTCCCAGCACAGCCCCTCTGGCCGGTGTTTCTCCACGGCCCAGCCCTGGGATGGGGGGCAGAGGGAACCTCCTGCCTCTCCCTGATTCTGCAGGGTGTGGAACCCCACGTGCACCCCCCATATCCCAGGGGGGGCTGGCAGGGAGACCCCGACCTCGAGGATGGACCCTCCCTGGGGATGTCTTGCCACTGTGAAGGACCCAGGTGATGGAACAGCCAAGGGTGGCACTGAGCCCTCCTGCCACAGCCAAAGGGGGTGCAAGATGCCCGTTTTGCTCATGCAACATTTGCCCAAACTGCACGAAATCCCCCCCAGTCCTGCTCCAAGTAGCTGGTGAAAAACCTTTGGGTTATCCAACAGGGTTTATGGATCCAACAGAACGAGCAGAATCGGGTTTATTGGATGGGGTTTTTTTTGATGCCAGGCCCCTGGAAGGGGATCAAGACACAGAGCGGGGAG